TCATCATCTTTCTTAGGCCCTCGCACATACTGGCTCGTGAGTGTGTGCTTAAAATCTTTCCAGCGCTGACGAACTTGTTGCAACAAATGCTTTTTCATTTGCTCAGTACGAGGGATGTCATACGTTTGCTGCAAAGAAAAATATATATGTTTGAGTTAAAGATCTTAGTTATAACCATATTTACAATAAAACAAATGAAATAAAATTAGAAAGTGACATACCAAAATATATTCCCAAATCCTATCCCTCGTCTCCTTAGAAATTGACTTCCAATTAGGCCATAGAATATTAACTTTGCTTCGGGCAATGGAGCCTATATAGCTAATGAATTTGTCCTTCTCTTCACCAATTGGATTCATATTGGCATCAAAATCCACATGCCTCTTCTGAATACGACCATGACGTACTGCTAACTTTGGTAGCCTTGTACTACCTCTAACCTTCCTTCCTTCCTGCTGATTGACATCATCGATGTCATAATCCTCCTCCATATCTCTCTCACAACCCTCCTCCATATTGGCATCAAAATCCTCCTCCATGTGCCTGTTGAAAAACCAAAATTAGATAAATAAGTAAATTATAGTGAATTGTATTAATATATAAATAATATCAAGTACATTGCTATGAAATAAATGAAAGAAAATAACACAAGGTACGTTGCAAAATTACATTACTTAATCTGACTTTATGCATTGTCCCATATCCCTTCACAATGATCATCTCTTGCAGCATATTCATCATTATCTACCAATTCTACTTCACTTGGTCTAGGCGGATTTGAAGCAAAAGGTGGTGTCTCATCAAGATTCATGGTAGGATCACTGTCCTTCTGCTTTTTACTTTGAAGGACAATAGACAATTTTTTATTTGCTGGATCAGTAACATAAAATACTTGTTTTGCCTGGCTTGCTAAAATGAAGGGCTCATCTGCATAACCAACCCTGCCAAGATCAACTAATGTAAATCCAAATTGTTGATCTATTTCAATACTATTGTTGTTGACCCATTTACATTTGAAGACAGGAATCTTGAAATTGGTGTAGTTTACGTCCCATATCTCTTCAATAACTCCATAATAAGCCATAGATGCCAATTTGGGGTTTTTATCTTTCGAACTCGAAAAATGCATCGCTTCAGCAACCACCATTACCCCACTATTCTGCACAGTACTTTTGTCATCTTGAGCTTTTGTGTAGAAGGAATATCCATTTATGTCGTATCCACTCCAAGTGATAACTTCAAAACAAGGACCCCAAGCTAACCATTTTATTGTATCAGATACATTGGCCTCTCTCAAAACTTTTTCACTGAACCATGTTATAAATGTTTTGTTATGCTCATTAGCTATCTGCATATCACTTTTCTTGGATACTTTTCTTTTAAACTTTTTTTGTGATCATCTAAATACGACTGCACTTCTTCCATATTATTCAATATGTATAAGTGCGCTTGTAACACTTCTTCACGACCCATACTCTTTACCTTCAGCCCCCTGATTCCTTTACTTGTACCGTTTTCATGCCGAGATGGTGTCTTAGCGATAGATAGATATGTTTTGCAAAATTCCATAGCCTCTTCCGCTACATACCTTTCAACAATTGATGCTTCAGGTCGATAAGGATTTTTAGAATAATCCTTTAAGACTTTCATGTACCTCTCAAATGGATACATCCATCTTAGAAAAATAGGACCGCAAAGCCTTATCTCCCTCACTAAATGAATGATCAAATGCACCATGATATCAAAAAATGCTGGGGGAAAGTGCATTTCTAGTTGAGACAAGATAACATAACCCTCTTTTTCCAATTCGTCCAATTTCTCTATGTCAATGACTTTGCTACAAATAGCATTGAAGAAGATACATAATCTAGTTATAGTGCTCCTCACATCATCTCTCATTGTGCCTCGAATAGCTACGGGTAATAGTTGTTGCATCAGTACATGATAATCATGAGACTTCATTCCCACTAACTTCAAATCGTGCATTGAGACAAGCCTTTTCACATTAGAAGAATACCCTGGGGCACCTTGATGTCATGCAAACACCGACACAAGCTTGTTTTTTCGACTTTAGACAATGTGTGGGCCGCAGGTTCCATATAAGCCCGCTTACCACCCTCTCTCAATTGTGGATGTAAGCGCTCTCGAATGCCCATTTCAGCCAGATCAAGTCTTGCATTAATTCCGTCTTTAGTTTTTCCAGGTATGTGCAGAAGAGTACCGATAAGACTATCACACACATTTTTTTCCACATGCATCACATCGATACTGTGTCTTACATCAAGACTGCGCCAATATGGAAGATCAAAGAAAATAGACCTCTTCTTCCATATGTTTTTCTCACTTGCAGCTTTTTGAGTCTTACCGAAAATGACATTGATTCTTTCAACTCGCTGGTAAACTTCCTCTCCAGTTAATGCCTTCGGAGCCATGCCATGCTCTGGTGAGCCATTAAAAACCTTTTTCAATCTCCGGTATGGGTGGAACCGATCAAGAAACCTCCTGTGACCGAGGTAAACTGTCTTCCTTCCGTGCTTAAGTTGGTGGAAGTATGTGTCTGCTTCACATATAGGACATGCTTTATGCCCCTTCACACTGTATCCTGATAGATTTCCATATGCAGGAAAGTCATTTATCGTTGTAAAGATCATGGCACGCAACTTAAAGGACTCCTGCTTGTATGCATCAAACACATCCACGCCTTCTTCCCACAACATCTTCAAATCTTCAATTAAAGGTGCCAAGTAGATATCGATATTGTTTCCTGGTTGTTTCGGTCCTGAAATCATCATAGAAAGCATCATGTACTTGCGTTTCATACATAACCAGGGAGGTAGGTTGTAAATCACCAACAGTACTGGCCATGCACTATGTGTGCTATTAAGAGTACCGTAAGGGTTGATTCCATCTGTACAAAGCCCAAGGCGAAGATTTCTTGGTTCAAGACCAAATTCCGGAAACATTTCATCTATTTTCTGCCATTGAGGAGAATCAGCAGGGTGCCGAAGATATCTTCCATCTGATATTCTCTCATCAAAATGCCATCTTAACTTCTTCGCTTCTGTTGCATTAGCAAATAAGCGCTTAAATCGTGGTATTATCGGAAGATACCATAACACCTTCAAAGGTTGCCCTTTACTTGTCTCATCACCATCATAGTTACCAGCACAGTCCATGTTCTTTTTCACCTTGTATCGTGAAGTTTTACATTTTGGACACTCACGTAGACCAGCATACTCTTTTCTGTATAATACACAGTCATTAGGACAAGCGTGTATCTTTTCATAGCCCATACCCATCCGAGACAAGATTTTCTTTGCCTCATACACACATTTGGAAGAACGTTATCAATTGGAAGCATATCACTAATCAATTGAAGCAACTCTGTGAAACTTTTGTCAGTCCACCCATTATTTGCTTTTAAACTGAACAATTTCAATACAGCTGTCAATCGTGTATACTTAGAACACCCAGGGTACAAAGGCATCTCTACATCACTCTTCAAGTTATCATTTGCATGTGATCGCACAAAGAACTCTACCCCTACATCACGAATCATATCGCTCATTCTATCATTTACATCATCCATAACTTCCTCTTCTTCGAGTATTGAACTTGTTCCTACTTCACCATGCCATATCCATCTTGTATATCGAAGATTTATACCATCACAAAGCAGGTGATCTCTAATATCATTAACACTTAGTTGCCTCTCATTTAAACACTTGACACAGGGATAAAAATACATTCCGTTATTGCTAGGAGCATTCTGTTTAGCAAATTCAATAAATCATTCTACTCTGTTCTCATATTCATCACTTGTTCTCAAAGCATTCATCCAACTATGATCCATTCCGTTACTACCTAAGGAATTATAAACAATTTAATTCCATTCAGCAGAGTCCCAATAAACATTAACCAAATTCAAAACTAATTATATCAATTGAATCCGATTCATTCCAATTACAACATAAATCATGCCAATTCCAAGCAAATGATTTCGAACTTCAAATCTATTACCCAATCAATATAAACAAATTTTAACTTATCTAAATGCAATTTTTTCATTAATCATTTAATGTATACCCAATCCTTAATCTAAATTCAATACATATAGCAAACTATCTAATGCAATCCCTCTTAGGCATTTTGACAAACACCTTGCATGTATTATTTTTCTAACAAGATTAACAAGGTTTGAAATCTTTAAAATTTCTACCCAAATCAATATATACAAATTTAAAACTATCTAAACACAATTCTTCAGTAAAAATTTAAACAGCAACCTCAGAAACCAATTCAAAACTCCTCAAGCTACTCAAACCCACGCACAACACACTAAACCCACAATGCAATGGTTGAATAAACTTACCTTCACTGTTCGGGCGTGCCTTCGAATCAACGGACTACAGTGCGTGTCAGCTTCACGGCTTCAATGACGAGATAGCTGCTAGCTGGAGGTTCTTTGCGGTACACGCAGATCTTCACGGCTTCAATGGCGAGCTGCTGCAACACGGCGCGCGACGCAATGGATGGAGGGCTACGGCCTTGAAGAGCTGAAGAGGAGAGACCGAAATACTGAGTAGCTCACGGCTACTTCACGGACAAGAGGAAAATGAGAGGGAGAGACCGAAAATGAAACTTGGGCGCGAGAAAGCTGCGAGCTGGAGGTTCTTCGCGCGCGGTACATGCAGATCTGATAGTGCTGATGCGAGCATAGGATGCGGCCGGCTAAATTTTTTTTAAAAATGAAGCCCCTTCACGTCTGTTTATTGTAAAACAGACGTGAACTCACATCTGTTTACAAATACCAGACGTGAAGTAACGTCTGTTATGGAGAAACAGACGTGAATTCACGTCGGTTTTGAGTAAACGGATGTTAATTCACGTCTGTTCACACAAACAGACGTGAATTCACGTCTGGTTTTTGTAAACAGACGTGAGTTTTGTTTTATTTAAAACAGACATGAAGTCTCTTCTGTTTTTCAAAACAGACATAAATGAGGGAGGTAAATGACACATTTTACTGTAGTGACTATAAATTTGAGAGACAAATTGGATTTGGGTCATATATTTATGACTGCCAATTAGCTTTTATATTTAGGACTAGAGGTAATACTTCATTAATGAAATCCTTTTTACAATATGTAATAACAAGAATAATATAGGGAAAAAATTATAAATTTTGAAGGGAAAGTTGATTATATTATTTTTATATTTATGACCAAAACAACCTCTTTAACTAGCTCTGGAAGTATTACAAAACAATATATGGAAGTAAAGGGACTTGGCAGGGGGTCTCTAATAGTGGCCATCACAATCAAGACAGCATAGGAACATGGAATGGGTCATGCAAACTAACTAAATACGCTAAAAGCTTATATGGGAAAATTAGGGTCTTGAGGCCATGATGGGATGCATATCTATTGAGATTGAAGAGACTTTGAGATTAACATGCGACTTAGAATCATTCAATTCTAATACAAGTGACAATGTATATAAGGATAATGTGCTTTGTTAAGGCAAAAAACATCCTTTATCTTCCTCATTTGATCACTTACAGAGAGGATCAAATAGTCTCTTATATGCAATGAGGTCCATCCTAATCTTATGGCTTTTCTTGGTACCTTTTTACATCATAAACTTGATCATCAATATCTTTGTTGTGACTGGCAATTGTATTAGCCATCAAAAATCTGCATTGCTTCATCTGAGGAACAATCTTACATTCAACCCTGCCATGTCCAAAAAATTGGTTCATTAGAGCCAAAGTCATGATTTCTGTCAATGGAGTGGAGTAACATGTGACAACGAGGCACATGTTATAGCTCTTGATCTCAGTGAAGAATCCATCTCTGTAGGACTTGACAATTCCACCAGCCTCTTCAACTTGCAATTTCTGCAAAATTTGAACTTGGCTTATAATGAGTTTGATTTTGAGGTTCCTTCGGATTTGCACAAGCTGAAAAACTTGAGGTATTTGAATTTTTCAAACGCAGGTTTTAAGGGTCAGATTCCAAATGAGATATCTTATCTGAGAGAGCTAGTTTTTCTTGATTTATCTACCTCACTTCACACTCTAAAACTTGAAAAGCCAAATGTAGCAAAGTTCTTACAGAACCTCACAAAAATTAAAGAGCTATATCTTGATGGTGTGAAGATGTCTGTTAAGGGGAAGGAGTGGGGCCAAGCACTATATTCACTGCAAAATCTTCAAATTGTTAGTATGTCTTCTTGTTTTCTTCTTGGACCTATTGATTCATCACTTGTAAAACTTCAATCTCTCTCAGTTCTTCGGTTGAACAATAACAATTTCACAAGCTCTGTGCCTGAGACCTTTGGTGGTTTAACCAACTTAACCACCTTGCATCTTAAAAACTGCAATTTGATTGGGATGTTCCCAAAACAAATCTTCCAAATATCCAACTTGCAGGTCCTTGATTTGTCAGAAAATCAAAATCTTCAGGGCTCTCTACCATATTTCCAGCATAATGTATTTCTCCAGTCATTGAACCTTAGTCGTATAGGTTTCTCAGGACAACTACCAAGTTCTATTCACAATTTGAGGATGGTGTCTTCATTGGATCTATCAAACTCCAAATTCCATGAAAGGCTTCCTAGTTCTATTTCAGAACTTACTTCACTTGTTCATCTAGACTTGTCATTCAACAACTTCACTGGTTCTCTTCCATTTTTCAATATGTCAAAGAACCTTTCATATCTATTTGTCAATAACAATGGCTTGGAGGGTGAAGTTCCATCTTTTCATTTCAAGGGCCTTGAAAAACTTGTCTCCATTGATTTAGGTTGTAATTTTCTCAATGGGAGTGTTCCTTCCTCTCTTTCTACACTTCCATCTTTGCGTCAACTGAGTCTTTCTCATAATAAATTTGAGGGTCTATTGGATGAATTTCCAAATGCTTCTTCTTCCCCATTAGAGATCCTCGATATCAGTGGGAATAATTTACAAGGGCATATTCCTCTGTCTATCTTTCATCTCAAAAGACTCAGTTTCATCGAGTTTTCCTCAAACAAGTTCAATGGAACCATACACTTGGATATGTTCAAAAGCATGAAAAATTTGGCAACATTAGATCTCTCTCATAACAACTTGCTAGTTGATGGAAATTTAGTGTCTGACCAAATTCATCAGTCACCATTCCCTAAATTGAACAATCTCATGTTGGCTTCTTGCAAGTTGAGAGAATTTCCAAGATTTCTCAGACATCAATCTAATTTGTTCTATCTTGACCTATCCAGCAACCAAATTCAAGGAACAATACCCAATTGGATTTGGAGGTTTCATTCATTGGTTTTCCTAAATCTTTCCAACAATTTTCTAACAGATTTGGAAGGTCCTTTTCAAAATATTAGCTCCAATTTGTTTTCTCTTGATCTTCACTCCAACCAACTTAGAGGCCTAGCTCCCATACTTCCAAAAAATGTGCTCCACTTGGACTACTCAAGCAATCAGTTCAGCTTACTTGACCCACCAGATATTGGTAACCATATCCCTTTCACAATTTCTCTCTCCCTTGCAAATAATAGTTTTCGAGGGAAAATCCCAGAATCCCTCTGTAACATTTCTTCTCTTCGGCTGCTTGATCTTTCTGATAATCGCTTTAGTGGTTCCATTCCTGAGTGTTTGACAAGAATGACGACTCATAGAGTGTTGAATCTAGCTGGAAACAACCTCACAGGCCAGATTTCAGACACATTTTCAACTTCTTGTGCCCTCCAATTCTTAGACTTGAATGAAAATTTCTTCAGTGGTAAAATCCCAACATCTTTGGTTAACTGCCTTAAACTACAAGTCATAAACCTGGGAAATAATCAATTGACAGATAGATTTCCATGTTTCTTAGGGAACATACCCACCTTAAGAGTCATTATTCTCAGGTTAAATCGATTTTATAGGAACCTTGAATGTCCAAATAGCAATGGAAAATGGAAGGCACCTCAAATTGTTGATGTGGCTTCAAATAATTTAAGTGGTACTCTACCTGTTGCACTTTTGCAAAGTTGGAAATCATTGATGACACCTGATGAAGATGACGGCAAATCAAAGTTAGGCCAATTGTACATTGACATCTATGACAACATTAATCTCATAGACGTCAATGTTGGAATATCCTCTTTGAACAAAGATCTTGCATTGGAGCTAGCCAAAATTATAGCAACAGAATCACAATTTGTGATCAATAGAATATTCTTTGATGTCAATGCATATGATTTTGGTCGTCGTAGCTACTTGGATTTAGTGACAATTGTCAACAAAGGAAGACAACTAAAGTTGGTCAAGATTTTTGTCTCCTTTACTTCCTTGGATTTCTCATCCAATCATTTTGAAGCGTCAATACCAGAGGAAATTATGAATTTCAAAGCACTTCATGCTCTTAACTTGTCAAAGAATGCTTTTTCAGGCCATATTCCTTCATCTGTAGGAAACTTAAAGCATCTTGAATCATTAGACTTGTCAATGAACTCTTTTAGTGGGAGAATTCCATCAGAACTCGCAAGTCTAAATTTCCTTGCATTTCTCAACCTCTCCTATAATCATCTGATAGGGCTAATCCCAACAGGTACTCAAATTCAGTCATTTGAGGCTGATTCCTTCAAAGGAAACAATGGTTTATGTGGGCCTCCATTAGTACAAAATTGCAATTTCGATGATATACCAGGATTGTTGACCCCAACATCATCGTCTAAAACATCTGATAAATCAAACTATGGCAGTGACATTGATTGGAATTTCTTGAGTGCTGAATTGGGATTTACTTTTGGCCTTGGTATTATTATCTTTCCCATTATTTTTTGTCAGCAATGGAGGTTGCGATACTTCAAATATGTAGACAATATGCTTTACAAGGTTATCCCTCAGATGGATTTCACATATGAACACCGTGGAGGGAAAACTTACAGATGCTTAAGGTGGAAACCTTTCTGATTTTCAATTGAATAAAAGGGGAAAGGGCATGCAATTGTTTTTCTTTTTTGCTTTTCTGATATCTGGAATAGATGAATAAGTTCTCTTAGAGAAATTAGATGTGAAATAAACCTGGTTTTTCGATTTGCAATTGCTATTTGAACCCTTATTTCTTCCAAGTACTTATATTTAGTTTTACGAGTACGCGCGTTAAAGCATAAAATTAATGGGGCTATAGTGGAGGACTTGAAATATGGTGTTTTGTATTTTCCTTTGTTGATCAAGTTTTCTCAAAGTTTAATACTAGCTTAGATCTTAAATATAAGAGCTAGTTAGATATTCAATTTGAATCTAAATATATGATCTCAATTTACTATAGTTTTCATATTTATTTATTTCTCTCAAAATAATCCCTATATGATTGTACATGTTAAAAGGTTTTCATTTTAATACAGATGATTAACAAAAGTATTTTGAAAATAACAATACACATTTATTACAAATAACCAAGGAACAAAAAACCGGACCGGAAACTAAACCGGTCAAGGCAGTGGGTCAAGGGTCACTGGTTGGACCAGGGGTTAGACCGGTCATATTAAAATAATATAATTTAATTCATAATATCAAAATAGAACAAAATTCATAAATAATCAATAACAAGATTAAAAAAACTAGACTAAATATTAAACCAGCTACAATTAAAGTAATATAATTTAATTAAAAATTTACAAACATGCTTATATTTAATCATAAAAAATAATATTTAAATAAACAACGTATTAATTGAATTGATTTAAAAACTAATAATTCAAGTAAAATTTCCCAATGCCTCAAGCATATTATAGGCCATGCATTGATGACTGGGCTTGGTGCTGACTTGAAGCAGATGCACAGTGGAACTTTTTGACTTTCCATCTCCCTATGTGTAGCCTCGGGAACTTACGTTTTTACTTTTTAATTAACAAATGGCTTCTTCTTCGCTTCTCAAATTCTTCTGCTCCTGGGCGTCTCTCTCTCTCACTAGACCAAAGGTAAAAATGCTGTCATTACAGATCAAGAAGCTTTGCTATCATTATAGATCAAGAAACTTTGATTATTGGAGGTTATACACATTTCATATCTCAATCTCACTCACAGGTCACAACTGGAAAACATAACAGAAGCACAAAGGAAAAAACAGAGCACATCGAGCTGAAGGAAAACAACTAACCAGACAACAAGAGCATAGAAGCTGAACAAGTAGAAGGAGAATGAAGAACTTGCCATGGTGAAGAAGAAATGACGATGAGAACCGATAAGGAGCTGCTGATGTGGCCTGCAAATCTGATTGAAGAACTCCTGCTAGCTACTGCTTTGACCAGGGGATGTCACGCAAAGATCGACGACCTCCGACGGTGAAGAAAATGGCAGCTACAATAAGGGTGGATTTCGGCTAGGGATTTTGATTTGGGGGGAAGAATGAAAATGGCGAAGCTGAAAGCTGAAGCTGAGTTGCCTTCACCCTTTGATAAGCTGTATGTTTTTTTTTTTTTTAATTTCTTCAACCTGAAACGGCATCGTTCCACAGCTGAAGGTTAAAAAATAAAAAATAAAAAACTTCAAACTGGGCAACCCATCAACCCAACGGTTGCCCGGTTTTGATCAGTTGAGCTGGTTTTTTACCGGTCCGTTTGCCTAGCGGTTTTTCTATCAAACCAAGCTGGACCAACCACCGGTTCATCGGTTTTCCGGTTGAACCAGCCGGTCTAGTCCGTTTTTTTTTTCTTGCAAATAACTAACTTAACTAATAAATTTTCTTAATATTCATTTCTTTGCAGTTCCCTTTCAAAAATTGCAATGTTTGATTTGTTTTCTGTCATAGTTTCATTCTTGTATATTTCCATTCATGCCATATTCTTATTGAACATTTTACTAGTTAGTTTTGAAATGGGTTTTGCTGATTTTTTTTCTCACTCCTATTATTCTCGAGAGTTTACTATATACTATGCTAGGTTTGAATATGGTGAGATGATAGTCTTTAGTTCTTGTTCTGATATAAGTCGGCTCTATCGCAAACAAAATCGCTTGCATAAAAAGATTACACATCATAGTAAAAAAATTTTCCCGAAGAAATTCCAATATGTCTTTGACGAAAAAATATCATTTGAAATTAACGATATTAAGGTTAGAATATTAGAGAAAAAGTCTTATAAATTAAGAATACAAAATGAAACTCTACATCAAATTAGAGAATTAAAACCACACTTTTGTTTCTGGATTGGCAAGAGTGAATGGTAGATACTCTCATAAATTTCTTAAATACGTGATTGGAATTCAGTTTTTTAATACGGAGGGAGGCCTGGCGTAAAGTGAAGATTGAGGGAAATAAAGAAAAATTCCCTTCTGGGGTATTCCAGTAAATTTAGCTAGGAGAGATATAATACTTTTTTTTTGCTTTTATTTTTCTCTCATACGTAATTTAAGAGTTATTTAATTAACTTAAATAAATTTAAAAAGTTAAATAATTACTTAATTTTAACAAATATAGCATGACCTTTCTAAAACATCTCTTAGTAACATTATATTATATGTTAGTTTATAAATTAAATAAATTAGTTTAAAAATGATAAATAATAATAAAATAAATTAAAATTTTATATTTAGAATTAAAATTAAGCGTAGTATTCTTTACCTTTTAATTTCTCCCAATCCAAAGATCGTGCTAGGACACTGGGACAGAAGGACTATTACAAGAGGATACTTATTTCTAAAAAAAATAATTATTATTTATAAAAGAACCGTATAACTTGAATAAAATCTTGACTAGGTGAGCCTTCAACTTTTCTAGAAAATTTTAATAAGGCTAACATTTCTTGAGAATAAGAATTTTTAACAACGGATCTTGCCATCATACGACACGTGGAATAAATCATAACCCGTGGGCCTCCCATAATTCCATGACTAAAGGGGGTGTTTGGGTTTTTTGCCAAACCATGGTTTGGCAAAAAACCCAAACACCCTTAGTTTTTTGAAAACCATGGTTTTCAGCAAAACCATGGTTTTGAGCTTGAAAACTTGGTTTCAGCTGAAGCAGCACGCGACCCGCTTTTTATTCTATACTATATATTGGATTGAGTGGCCTTCACATGTTGGACTTTTCTTATTTCATCTTTTCTTTTCGTCGGCAACGGCTCCTTTGTATTCAAACTTCTCATGCATTAATTAAATTGAATTAAATAATCATATTTTTTGGTTGGCAAAATAAATTATTTTACGAAAAACATGTTTAATTATTTTATTATTAATATATATTATTTATTAATATATATACATGTTTAATTATTTTATTAAATTATTTTGCAAAATAACATATTTATTTATTTTATTAATATATATACGTATTAATTTTTTCATTAATATTTTTTATTTACTTCAAATAAACATATATTATGAAATATATCTTATATGTAATTATCATTTAAACTTATGTCCTTTTTAGTAATTTTAACATATAAAAAAGTACTTCTGACAACAACTATCCAAACATTCTCACTTTATCAGAATCACTTTTTCAAAAAAGCTATTCTTTCAAGATCTATTCTCTCTAGAATCTATTTTCTAGAAGCTATTCTCCAAACCATGGTTTGAGGTTATCCAAAGACCCCCTAAGCTATCCTTTGATATATCCATAAGAAAATACAAAAAAGTTTCTCCAAATTTCACCCTTTAGTGTATGTTTGCACCACGTTCCCGAAAATACAAGACATTGGTAATTATAATATTCAGACTATAAATAAAATCTTATAAGGTAGTAATAATGATTTTATTCATTAAAGGCTGGTTTGTTTAATTTTTAAGAAGTAAATGATTTTCAAACTACCTAAAAAAAATGATTTATTATTTAGAATTTTTTTTATTTTTTTCAATTTAATCAAAATCTTGAAAAAAAATTTATTGTTTTGAGAGATGCCAAATTTTCATCTAGGTATATGTCGCATTTAAAGAATGCATATATAAATATATATATATATATATATATTTTAACCTAGAAAGAATGCATACTTGAAAGAAACCACGTTGCGTGTTATGGGTGACACCCCAAACCATGGTTTGGGGACCCAAACCATGGTTTGGGGAATAAATCACCCAAACACTCATCCAAAAACCAAAACCATAGTTTTGAAAAAAGCAAAATTTTTTTGCTTTTGGAGAAAAAAGGGAGAGTGTGAGAGTCTATAGGATATATATCTTGTTATTTTTTTATAAACATATTTAATCTTATATTTTATAAATATATATACATATTAATTATTTATTAATTATATTATCTTATGTATTATTAATTATGTTGGTAAAAAATATATTATTAACAATTTTATTCCTTCAAATTAAAATATATCATAAAATTTATTTTTTCTGTAATTATCATATTAACTTATGTCTTTTTTTTAGTAATTTGTATATATAAAAAGTGCTTCTGATAACAACTATCCAAACACTCTCACTTCTCAGAATCACTTTTTTACAAAATCTATTCTTCACAGAATCTATTCTCCCCAAAATCTATTCTCCAGAATCACTTTTCTAAACCACGGTTTGGTTTCATCCAAACACACCCTAAGTCCCCCTTGATTTGGTCAAGTAAATCCTAAACTCTTAACATGATATTTGTATGTTACTTAGGAAAAAAAATCATATCATAGAGACTAAATTACAAATGAATTGAAACTGTTTTTTAGACTAATTACAGTATAAAATGAGTCTTACATTTAGAACTAAAGGAGTATTATAATTGATAAGTGAGTCAAACGGTATGAAATTTAACATCTTTGAAAAGGACTTCTTCTAAAGGGAATGTGACCTAATTCTAAACCTAAATTAGTCGATAATATTATATACTAAATCATTTATTAACTAAAAAATAAGCTTTCTTGGATCATAAATACACAAGCGAACTAGCTAGGTAATTAATTTGTAAAAATTAAAAAAAATAGTTAATTTAATTATTTGCTAAAAGCGTGTGTTGGTTTTTTAATGTATTT